ACTTTTGTCGTTCGGTTCATCCCGATTCGTGAGTCAAAGCAGCCACTCCTATTTTGGTATATTATTGAGCACTCAATGCGCTAGCAGCGCTTAGTGTTTAGTCACTTTGTTGGCAGTCACGCTTCGATACTTTGTTTTAATTAAACTCGGAGCGTATTACTTGTTCAATCTTCTGCATATTGGCAAACTTTATTTCATTCACAAAATACCGGAACTAATTTTTATAGAATTTTGATATGTCTACGCAGCAATGAAATAATTTTTCGCAAATTTTTGCCTTGAGCGACTTTACTGGTGCGAGTTATCGGCGATTATAATTTAATTTAAAATGCGCGTTTCATTTATTCATACGCGCGAATACATTAAAATGCGGCGCATTTAAATAAAGTATTGTATGGGGGACTGGCAGTGCCGCCACCACGGCCGCCGCCTTCCGCCGGGCCGCATTTAATGAACTCGATATAAAATATGCAAAAACAATTAAGAACGGAAACGCGAATACACACAGTGCCACATCGCGTGGCTAGCTGTGTGGTAGTGTTTGTATACGTTTGCGGACTGCATATTCAACCGCCTTCGCCGCGAACGAAAACGAAGCAAATATTTTCGCTTGATGTGTACATTTATATTTATGTGTGTGCGAAGAAAATGTGCGATAGCAATTGGAATGAGAATACCGACGCAAATGGGAAATACATATTTGCATTTTCATTTTCATTTGGGCGGCGTGTGCGCGTCCTGTGCGGAGGTCGTTAACTCACGAGCGGGCAGTTAGAATTAAAAGCGTTGCTGCTCGTAAAACGCGAAAAAAATTAGACGCAAGCGAAATGAGGAAGACACATTTCAATTTGTTTAGTTTTAATTAAAGTGCTTTTTAAATTACTTGTGCAGAATTCGAAATTATTTTAACTGGAAAAAAACAAGTTGCTTTATAGAGGTACAGATATGATACAATGGCCACAAGGGTGTTAATCTATTATCTCGTTAGATATATTTATGGTTTCCGTTTTCCTGTTTTGGGTGGTGTTTCACCAAAATTACACTTTTTTGTTTGTTTCGAATTTAATTTTGTTTTTGCTACGGAATTTCGGTGAATATCTAAATGTTGATGTGTAGAATATTGCTGCATGTATAAAATTGCAGCCACGATGTGGTCTTGCCGACGCCATTGCTCATGTCCGGCGCTTCCTATACGCGCTCGAGAGGAACACTTTTTGCGCGAATTTCGTCCACTTTTCGCCTCAATGTTTGCCCCTATTTTCGCCATTGCCATTGCTCCTGCTTCATTTTTACCCGGGGTTTTACGGCGTTTCAACGATTTGCGACCCGCCGCCGCCCGACCGCATTCGTTTCGGCCGGGCCCGCCCGTTGCTTTATGACAATTGGTAAATATCTGATGACGTTTTGATAACCGTGATTTATTGCGTCGGCGGATTTTATTTCTTTTTTTTTTCGTTTTTGTTTTTCCGGCTGGTGGTTGGTTTTTGCGCGCGAGGCCGACTCCCATATGGATGCGAATTTAATGCATATTTCGTTTATTCAAAGGGGTGGATAATTTATTTCATTTTTTTATTGTGAAATGAGTAATTATTACAAAAAACATTTATTTTAATTAACACCTACTAATTTAATTTTAAGTAGATATAAAATATTTATTTGGGTTTGCTACTTTTCTTTGAAAACTCAAATTTAAAAATAATTCATGCTGTTTTCTAAATGCACAATAAAGTCGAGGGAATATTCTTTTAAAATTCTCTATTCAATTTCATTTTTAAACAATTTAATATATATCCGTCTAATGTTGCGTGGAATCGCAACGATTTAATCTATAATATAAAAATAAATTGCAAAATCTGTTGGTAAGCTCATAACTTCACCCTTTTCTATAGGATAAAAGTTGGCATTGAGATTCAATCATAGTTATAGTTAAATAGTTGAATCCAAGATGGCGCGCTGAAGTGCATTATTAGCAATTTTTGAAATAATTAATTTCTTTAAAATAAAATTGCGAATCTTATTGATAGAATTGAAACATACTATGTCTAGAATAAAGGAGTAATAACGAATTACACTCTTATTAAACAATACCAGGACGCAGTCGAGGGCAAAAGCTAGTATTAATATAAGAATATTTTCAATTTTTAAATTATTTCTAGTCATGAAGTGGCAACATTATTCTTTGCAATAAAAATTAATTTTTGGTTGGTTTAATTTTAAAGTTAAACTGGTTTTTACTTTGATTTTTAAAATAATTATTTTCGCGCAGCAAATAACCGAAAATAAAACCATAATGTGCTCATAATAATAATTACTTACGATATTTGATCATTAATTAAATAAGAGCACATTCCCATCAAATTTGATCGCAGTGTAGGTATTTGCTTAGACGAGCTCTTGGCTGCAATTTGTCGTCATTCTATTAGGTGAGGTGCGCGCGCGTCAAGGATAGTAATTAATTTCGAGCAAAGTACACACGTTTTCTATAAAGTAATTGCCCGCCACCGTGCGCTTTGGCTTGACGTCGAAGCTCCCCCGCTTCGAGGGGCTATTATTTGTCCCCCTGAGCGGAAGGTGTGCTCCCTGCTCGTATAAATGTTTAGACAGCAATAATAGAGACTCGCCGGTGTCGTCCGTTTGGTTGCTTGATGGCATCGCAAGGCCGACAACCGCTGGCCGGCGAGCAAACGAGCGTCACCTGTAATTAATTCCAGCGCTGTTAATTGCGATTCAGGGCGTGCGCATTCGTGCGCGCGCGCCTGAAAAGGTCTCACAAGAGTACTGGAGTAGCCACTTTGATATTAGTATTATTACTATCATTACATACATTACTATCATTACCGTCGTTAGTGGTATTACGTATTATATGAGGGCGAGTCACATTTGATGCGTTTCGAGGATATACACTAGGGTTATATCTATAAAATAACTATTTGATTAAATGTAAAGGTATTAATTTTCGATTTTTTAATAAAATGATATTAACATTTAATTTCTAGAAATAAATTTTTTTTTTTGGAATCAAAATTTGAATTTGATTTGGCTGAGGTAGAAGATGAAAAGAACATTCAATATTTTGGTTTTGATTTACAAGTAAGATAAGAAATATTTGATGTGGTTGAGCGAAAACCCCAAAGTCTGTATCGCTGCATTCGCCTTCTGATTAGATTGAATCCGATAACACTGCGTCGCGCTTTGCAAACTACGCAGTTAAGTTACTTGTGAGTGCATCAGTACGCGTAAGTCGGTTGAGCAAGCGCGTGGTGTCGATATTGTGCAGCGATTCTACAATAAACCATTAAAAATCCTCATAAAATCAAGTGAAAATGACTAAAACGAATCACATGTGTATCCGTGAAATACACGTTTTCAATTTGTGTAAATCGCGGTATAAAGACGGAAATTCAATAATTCAAATCTCGACCTTGCTTGATACCGGTTAGAATTATTAGAGTTACGTATAAAAACAAATTTATTCGTACTGGAAGTAATATTTCACGTGGCAAATTGCTAAATAATAAATTGAAGATAGTTTCTACTTACGACTTAATTGTGAGGTGTTTTTATACGCAATTCTATCACGTGTTATGTGGCAGTATCACACGATGTCTTTCACTAACCTTATATCATATCTTACTAACATATCAATAAAAATAAAGTGACGAGATGCAAGTACACAACGTGAGTTACAATTACAATGAATTTCCAATAAATCGTTGTTTATTAAACTGTGTTTGTTGTTTATATAATATATTTGTTGATGTTGTAATATGATGTTAAATTACAGAGCGATTTTTATCGTTCTGTTTTGAAATTTGCCATTACTGGCCAAAACACAACACAACAAGTAAAAACACCGGAAATAATTACAAAATGACTTTATCAGTAGCCATCCCGGTGATATATGGCTTTTCTACGTTCCGGTGCGTTCGTACTGCAAATTATTCCGAATTATTCCACGTTAATGCTTTATTTTACATTTTACTCATTTCTTCGAGTGCTTGCGCGACTCCTGCCACTTTGAGTACTTACATTTATTACAATCCACCGTGAGTCCCCCAGAAACCCAACCGAATGAAATAATCGCCATTTGCGTAAATTTTAAAGCGTCGTTTTCTTTATTATCATTATCCCTAGGAAAGGACACAAGTTTACGCCGCCGCACAAGGTAGATTAGCAAATTACTCGCGAGTGTCGCAATTACAATTACAACTGCACGTGCAGCGCTCGAAACACGCACTCAAAATAAAGCAATAAAGTCAATGTTTGACTAAAAACCGCACTAAAACACGAGTAAAATGTGGTGATAAATTTTACACTTTGAACGCGCTGTATGCGCTGATATTCATTTACATAATTTGCATAACTTGGTAAGTTATGCCTTTTTGGGTATGGCCCTTTAACCGGTTGATTCGGTTGGCCTTCTTACAGTCCTTCGTCCTTTGCGGGGGAAACAGCATAGATATCGTCTAAGTAAGGCGCGAGGTGGTGGTAATTTAGTGGTGGCCCTTTGCCCTCTCCCTGATCAGCTCGGATATCGCGGCAAGGGCGCAAAAAGGGAAATGTTTCACTCAGGCACCGGGAGTAATTCATAAAACGTCGCGCATAAATTGAAACAAAACGTGCGGGCGATTAAGTAAAATTCCACGGGCGGCTGGCGAGGAGAGATTATTTATTTCATTATTTTATTAGCGTTGTAAAGCCTTCCTACACTGTCCGAGACCGACCTTTCCGCTAATTGTTCGCATTCTTCACGCGAACGCAACGAGCTTATCTCACCCAGTAGGCATAGGGTACCTGGAGTGCTTATCATTTGAATAAATGTATTTAAATTATAGTTTATACAGAACCAGTTGGTTTATTAATAACATCCGAGTATTATACTCGCAACAAAAAATTAAAAAAATTGTTTTACTAATAAACTTTTTGACTGTAGTTTTTAAGTTTTTGTATGTTGATTATTTTTAATTCTATTTATTAATGACATTTTTTGTTTGTTCCAGGTTGGGTCATACTAAATGCAACGCACCAATGAAAATTGAACATTTATCAGCTAGTTTCACGATCAAACAATAGTCTAATCTCAAACGAGTTTTGTTCTAAAATAGCCCCCGTTGTTGCGCAATTGGTGACATTTCAACCGCGGATATTTTTGTAACAATGACGCGTTGTGTGCAATGGCTGTGCGTGCTCCTGCTGGGGGTGGTCGCGGTGGACGTGGACGCCGCCGCGCGACCTCAACCTATCTACTCCAATCATTTTGCGGTGCACATTCCCGACGGTGATGCCGATGGTATTGCTGCGAGGCACGGATTCGTCAACACTGGACAGGTTAGTCAATATTAATTTATAAAACCAATTAAACGCGAAATCTGCGGCGAAGCGATTAAAATTTTCACTAGTGAATTTTTTATTTCGTATTTTTGCAACGAAATAAAAAGAACGAGGTTATTTCGGCTTCCGTTTCGATTAATCTATGCATCTGGCGTGCGGGACATTTGTATCCATCGTGGAAAGCGGGTCAATCGTCGATTTATTTATTCCCCCTTTCATTCAGTATTTGTCTTCCTTTTTGGCGTCGAAGGAGGCTGCCATTCTCGGCCGAGAAAGAGGCGAATTAATTTAACACGTCGCGTTTCTTTTTCGCGCACTTGCGATTCCCTTTGTTGCCAACTGGTGCCCGATTGTTGCTGAGATAAAATAAACAAACCGTTTATTTGATTCCGGGCGCTCTATTTATCAATGCTGCGAGATTTGCGCTTTTCTCCGATTTATTCGGCCGGCCGTTATTTATATGCAGCTGGTGTGCGTTCGCGCCGCCGCCCCGCTCGACACATGCGGCGGCTGTGATAAAACGTCGCAACTAACGTCCGAGCACGAAATGTAATTGGATTGGTCCTCCATTGACCGACCGACACGTTCTGACACCGAATGGATTACATTTGTATCTGTTAGAAAGAAGTTCCTCGCTTTGACGGTTGCTACCATCAGCAGCGTACGTAACGATACTTCAAAGCACCAATCGGACCAGTGCCATTTTGAAGCAACGTCAATGGCAATCATTGTACGCGCAGCGAATGCCGGTGATAAATAAAAATTTAATGGAATGTTTGCGAATGGAAAATTAAATTTGTTGATGGAGCATATTGCGTGTGGGAGCGAGAATGCGGGGGTGCAGTTAGCAGTTAGTCAGGGCTAGAGTGCCGTAAGTGCTCTGGCACCAATTGGCAATTCTAATAAGTCGGCCCTTTTGTGCGTTCTCTTCTTCTCATGATTTTCGCGCGTCCAGCGCGCAGTAATAAAACTTAATGACGCGTTTTAATTAAAATCAACTAATTACGACGACATCGTCAGTCTACAATTTTCCTTCACTTGGCTAATATTTTATTTCGACTCGTAAACTTACTAAGGCGTAACGTTTATCAACTTGCAAAGTTTGACGTGACGTAACGCGACCTATATACTACCACAACCCCCGCGCCGCCATTATTATAAAGATCAGAGTACCAACAACCCCAACATTGCGATACGCTATCGACGCTGCGACATACGAACGCGAACGCACATAAATAACTCGTTAAATATTTACATTAAAGTTTTAATAGAATTTTCTACGTGCGCTTTAACTCCCTTCTCATCCCCGCCGAACGCTGCTTTTTGGTTGTGGCAAGTTGAAGCGCGCGCCAGCTTACAATGTTTATCAAAGTTTATCAAAACCGCCGACCGTGAGCGAACGTGCGACATGATGTAAAAAATCACTGTGTGGCGCGTTCGAGGAAAAAACTTGCTAAGAAGCTGCGAAGCGTATGAAAATATATTCTATCAGCGTAATCTCATCAAGCGTCAAGTCCGAAAGTTTGTGTCGCTTTGGATCGATGTATCTAAAAAGTTATTAGTGATTGAAGGTAATTAGTTATAACTGTTTTTTTTTGAAAATTAACATTAATAGTAATTAAAGTGTAAAATCATAGGTCGTTAGGGGTTAATTGAAATTGAGTTAATGCCACGAGAGGAAAAATAATCGCGGACGGCACTTAAAACTTGATTAAAAATTCATTATTTTTCCTTACATTTCCTCCTTTTTTTTTGGCAGACGTCTACGCGCCGCCAAACAATTTTAATTGGAATAATTCCTCATTTAATTTTAGCAACTTTCTTCGCTTGCCCTTTTTTTCTCTCGTTTGTGGAATTTTATTCACGATTCGTTATTTGTTTGTACTTAATTTGAAACATTTTTTTTCCTCTCGACTCTCGCGCTTCATTTCGGAGATTGTTTGTGATTGTGTGTGTGCGAGCTGGGTTTCGAGCGAACCAGCAGGCGATTATACAAATTCTTATCAGATATATCAATGTCATGTTGGTATGCGCGGCGGGCGCGCAGGGGGCTGGCGAGATAGGAAAACGTCCAGAAAATGTCGGGCGGCTCGAAGGCGGCGAGCCGCGAAAACCCCCAAAGTGGAAGCTTTGGTGGCATTCAAGGGGTGCGTAAGGGGAAGGGGCTCTGCATCCGCGCGAATTGTGCGCACTCATAAAATTATACTTTCGCCCCCTTGCGCGAAGATACTTTTTGACAAATTGATAATCGTAAATTTAATTTCGCTTTAAATTGCTTCAAATTGCTCGGCGCCGCGGCGCGCAAAACGACGCACGAGGAAACTCATTTTGTAAACTAAAAGTAACATTTTCTTTCTTGTCTGCGCACCGACAAAAAAGGGAAGACATTTTTGTGCGGAAAGTTTTAATGTGCAAACGAGTTTAAAATTTGTACTATAAGATGAAAAAAACCTGATTTGACAGATTTAGGAGGATGGTGTTTAGTTGTTTTGAAATTTAACCTTAAATTGGGTTCAGTGATGTTCATTGTCTAGTCGGAGAGAAGAGGCGCACATAATTAAAGCAAAACTTCACTCGACGCCTCGAAATCGCTAGGTGTTAAACGTGAGACGTAATCCTTCTTAGAACAGCTTAGTTTTCCCTCTTCACGTGTCCCACCCTGGGATCTGTAGCCGGGTGCCGTCAAACGCGATGCAATCCCCGCTTAACGCCGTTCGAGATTTGCGCCCAAAACTTGTCATCCCTTGCGTTACGCACCCGGACATATTTCGCACTTTTGTCCCCGGCACAATTCATAACGAATCAAAACCTGCGCGCCACGTTTAAAAGAGCAACCTGTAACATGCTCGACAAAAGGACGCGGCAAGGGATGAACGCTGCGTCTCGAGCGGGGTCTTCGAAAGGAAACAACTGTAAGCCTATTAAGAGTTACTTACCCGCCGGCCTTCAAGGACCTATCCTTGAGTGCAGAGACGACAATACGGACAAAAAGAGACTCGACACTCTTGCTGGGAAATCTACGACTTAGTAGGTTGTGCAACAACTGCCTACGCAGTCTAGGCTATTCTAGGACTAGCGATTTAAGGACTTGCGAAAAGTGCTTTAGGGCATTATAGTTGCCCTATTATGAGGGATAATAACAACAACAAAACAACACCGAAGTCTTTTAAACTACTCACCACACTTCTTGATTATCCTTAACGATACCTATCACTCATTAGGTCATTAACAAATACTAAAACTATACTACCTTTCTAAAATAATAAAACTTCACTATTTGAAGTTTTTCTTTTCGTACAAAAATTGATTTATCATGTTTTTGTTGTCATTAAGTCTCCTGCTGTTTTAGCCGATAACATATCCTTCCGGTTTGCCGCGATATGACCACGATGACAGGCTGTAATTGATTACTTTTAATCATCTTTTCGAAATGAAGATGAAGATCGAAGTCATTGGTTTTTTCCGAGAAATTGTTTTTCGTCGTTATCGCGCTTTGATTCCGCTTTTTTTTTTGTTTGCCATCGTTCATCACTCCTTCGTGGCACATTAATCGCATTATCCTCCTCCGTGCGGCTCTGCTGGCGTGAGCGGTGCGCTGCGCGCAAGGACATAATTACATTTGCTAATTTGTTGAATTAAAAATTTAAGCCGCGTGCTGTCGCCCTGATGAAATGATGAAATAATTTAATAACGCAATGAAAAGACGAGTCAAGATGGAGCAGGACGGCAAATATGCGCCTGTAAATATGAAAAGTGATCTTGGGGATAATAAAATCACGTTTCGAGTTATGTTCCATCAACTTGAAAGGCGCCTGATGTAATGAAATTTCGTTTTGTTTCCTTCTGATATGAATTTTATTGATGTTTTAATGTATACATCTAAGTAAAGTTTTTTTTTTATTTTAAAAGAAATTTTTTCCTTTGACAGAGTAAAATAATTGTTTCCGTAATGTTAAAAACATGTGGATTTATTTTAATTATGTTATGTTGTGAGAAATAATAATGTTGTGCAGTTTATAAAGTGTGTTGAAAAGGAAATGCAAAAAATTACGTTGGTGTTGAATTTAGTAATGATTTTAATTTATATTCGTATATAGAAAGGGTGAAGTTGTAGCCCATTTGTAATGACCACGTGCACTTGATAAGCAGCAGTTGGATATAATCCCATCCATATAGCGCGTGTATTGCTCTCATATGCATAGGCATATTTTACAGCAATATTTTAAAGTCTAACCAAAAAAGTACTACAAATTCAAATTTCAATTCCGCATGTTCTTTTTGTATATCCGGCCTGGTGTATAAAAAGGGCGCTAAATTCGTTGTTTTTCTTTTGGTGCGCCGTCAGTTATGACATAACTTATAGCCAAAGTCAAATAAGACGTGAAATTACTTAAATTACCGAAGAGCCGTTGTGCGCTGTTTCACGTTCCGCGTTCGCATCGTCCGTTTCGTATTTTTCACATTTTCCTGATTATTTTTCACGTTTTGCGCGATGCCGCCTGAATAAAGATGTTTTTCTTTCCGGCATATTACGAATGTGTTACGAGAGGACATAAATTTATACGCGAATATCTATGCTGTCTGCCGCCCAAAGAAATGCATAATACACACAACGAAAAGTTGTAGTCAGTTGGTAGAGACAAATGAAACGCTACATTAGCACGATTATAACATGAATAAATAATTAAAAACGCCTTACTTAGCAGGGAATGCTTTTATTTTTATTATTTTTTGTGTTTTTAGAGGATTACCCGACTTATTTTTTCATTTGAAAGGTTTTCTACGCCGGTAAATAAACACTTTTACTGGGGTCGGGGGTTAATTAACAAAAAAAAGAACGTAAAAATAAACAAACTGAAAATTAAATGGATACGTCAATAGTGGAGTGCTTCGTATGCTTTCGTAGGAAAGTGGCTTTAATTATTTTCTAGCGATAAACTTGATTTGCTTCAATTTCCTGTGTGTGGGCTCTTTACCTGTTGTTTTTTTTCGGTGCG